GGGGGTCCCCTGACTCCCCCTGACGCACCCCCCAATCCCCAATTCCCCCCAAAACCCCCCTGACCCCCCCTTTCTGCCCCCTCCAGGAGGCCCGGCGGGCGCAGCTGGAGAACCACGAGCCCGAGGAGGAGGAGGAGGAAGAGCTGGAGGCCGAGAAGGAGGCGGCGGGATCAGGTCCAGGGGGGGCCCTGGGTGGGGTTTGGGGGCTCCCCTGTACCCCCCCGGCCCTGGAGGGGTTGGGCAGAGCATTGAGACCCCCCCAACCCTCCCCTCGTGCAGACGAAGAGCGTGAGAAGGGCAGCGAGAGCGAGGGGGCCGCGAGCGGGGACGAGGAGGAGGAGGAGGACGAGGCCGAAGGCTCCGGCAGCGGCAGCGAGCGCGGGGGGGGCTCTGCCCGCAGCGAGGAAGAGGAGGAGGCCGAGGAGGAGGAAGGGGGGGCCCGGGGGGGTCGCCGGGGGGGCAGCGACGCCGCCAGAGCCGCCCGCGACCAGGAGGAGATTTTCGGCAGCGACAACGACGACGAGGAGGAGGAGGAGGAGGAAGAGGAGGAGGAGGAGGAAGGCAGCGAGGGGGGGGCACCCCCACGGAGCCCCCAGCTCAGCGCCAGCGAGGAGGAGGAGGACGAGGAAGAGGAGGAGGAGGAAGACGAGGAGAGTCCCAGCGACGCCTCCGACTCCTCCAGCGAGTGAGGGGCTGGCGTGGCCCCCCCGCGCCCCCCCGGCCCCGCCCTGGGGCAAAAAGCAGCCGTTGTGGGTGTTTTTTGTGTTTAATAACGTTCATGGTTACCAGCCATATCATAACAAAAGGATTCATAATAAAATGTATCTAAAATAACGATTTTTTTCTATTTCGGGGCCGCGGCGCTACAAAGGGGGGGGGGGGCTGTACCGAGGGGGGGGGCCCGGGGCACCCCCAACCCCCGGGCCCCCCTATGGCTGGGGCGCGGGGGGGGGCTAAGCCTGTACCTAACTTGGCGCCGTCGTCCCCCCCCCCCGCCCCCGCCACCCCCCGGGGGGGCTGGAACAGAAATAATATTAATAATAATAATATAATAATAAAAGAGGGGGAAAATGAACCCACAAACCCCCAAATTCCGGGATCCTTAAAACGGCGAAAACGCAACAAACCCCCCCAAAAAACCCCCCCTGTAGTGTCATGGCCCCCCCCCTCACAAGGTCATCGGCCTGGGGGAGCCCCTCCCTCAGCGGGGACCCCCCTGAGCCCCCCGGCCATGGGAGGGGGGGCGGTCGAAGGGGGAGGAAGGGTTTTACACCCCCCCACCCCACCCCAGATGTTTTGGGGACCCCCCTGGGGGGGCACGTGGGGGGGGGGCAGGAGAAGGGGGGTGTTAAGGAGGTGCCCCCCCGATTTGGGGAGGGGGGGGCAGCGCCATCAGATGGTGGAGGTCTTGTCTGTGCCATCTGTGGGGGGGCACAAAGGGGGGGTCAGGGTGCTGCTGGGGGGGGGGGGCTGTGTCCCTCTGTGCCCCCTCCTCACCCCACGTCTCCCCCGACCCCCCCTCGTGTCCCCCAGACCACCCACCACCCCCCCATGCCCCCCCACGTCCCAGTGCCACCCCCAGACCCCCGGTGCCCCCCCCCAGCCCCCCGGCCCCCCCTCACCCCCCAGCGCGTGCTCGGTCATGCTCAGACACAGCGACTCCAGGGTGGGGTTGATCTCCAGGTCGGTGCCGGGGAGGGGGCACTCTGGGGGGGGGGAAACAGGGGGTGAGACACCCAGACCCCCAAAACCCCCCCCGGAGGGACCCCCCACCCCCAAACAGGGAGCAAACGGCCCTTCCCACCCCCCCCATTTTGGGGTTTCCCTCCCCCACTTTGGGGTCACTTCGTCATTGTTTTGGGGGGGGGGGTCCCAAACCATCCTGTGCTCACCCTCCTTCCCTAAAAGTTCAAACCCTCCTACCCCTCCCCCAAGAGTTACCCCCTCGTTTTGGGTGCCCCTCTGCCCATTTTTGGGTCCCCCCCGAGTTATGGGGTCTCCCCCCACATCTCTGCCCCCCCCCCCCCCCCCCCCATTTTTGGCCCCCCTACCCTGTGGGAAGGCGAGCAGGGCCTGTGGGGAGCTGTGCACGGGCAGGGAGTGGGTTCTCTGCACGGCGCTGCGACCCCCGGGGGACCCCCCCGGCCCCCCCCCGGCGCCGAACCACAGGCTCTGGGGGGGCAACAGGGGGGTCAGAGCAGAAGGGAACCCCCAAAACAGACCCCCGGGGTGAAGAAGAGACCCCTCCTGCAAATACAACCCCACCACGGAGCCCCCACCCCTCCCGAAATCCCACATTGCCCCCCCTAAATCTGCTCCCCTCCCCAAAATCCCACATTGGTCCCCTTCATCCACCCAAATCCCCCCATCTGCCCCCCCAAAATGCCCTCCAACCCCCAAAATCCACACATTTGTCCCCCCAACTCCCCTCATATCTGCCCCCCCCAAAAATCCGCCCCCCCTTTACCCCACCTCCAAGTCTCCAAACCCCAAATATCCACCCCCACCCCAAGATTCCCCCCAAACCTCCTCCCAGACCCCCCCAGCCCCATTTCCTCCCCCCCAGGACCCACCTGGCGGCCCTGGGAGCCCAGGGGGGGGGCTCCGAGGGGGGGTCTGGGGGCGGGGGCCCCCCCGGGGGGTCCCAGCAGCCCCAGGCGGGCAGGGGGCAGAGCCCGGGGGGGCAGCGCGAAGGGGCGTCCCCCCCCCCGCCGCCCCCCCCCCACAGAGCCAGCTATGGGGAGAGAGTTGGAGCCGAAGGCCCAGCTGGGGGGGGAACAAATTGGGGGGAGTCAGGGGGGCAAGAGACCCCCCTAAATCCCCCCAGAACAGGGGGATAATCCCAGGACCCCCAAAAACCCCCCCGGATACCCCCACCCCCCCAGCACCGGGGGGGTCACCCTGAGACCCCCCCAAGCCCCCCCCAGGGCCCCCCAAAAGTGGAGGGAGGTCACATCCAGGGGCCCCTTCTTGTGGTGACATGCGGGATCAGGGAGGGGGTCCCAGGGGGAAATGGGGGTCCCACAGCCCCGGGGGGGTCCCCGAGCCCCCCACGTACCCCTTGGGGGGCCGGTAGCCGGGGGGGCCGTCCAGGGGCCCCTTCTTGGGGAAGGCGCGGAGCAGCTTCAGCACCTGCTGCTTCCAGGACAGGAGCCGCTTCTTCTGCGTCTCCGTGAACGCCTGGGGGGGGTCAGGGGGGTCACCCGGGGCCGAGGGGGGGGTCACGGAACCCCCCCAGCCCCCCAGGACCCCCCAGTACCTCGTGGCTCAGGCACTTCTCGAGCAGCTGGAGGTAACTGGTGATGTTCTCCTCGTCCGGCCGCGACACCAGGAGCTGGGTGCACACTGCGGGGGGGTCAGGGACCCCTCCCCAAAACCTGGGACCCCCCCAAACCTTGGGAACACCCCCATCACCCCGAACCCCCTCAGGAACCCTGGGACACAACCCTCAACCCCCACCCCCAAAACCCCAAACCCCCTCTGGAATGCTGGCCCCCCCTCCAGAACCCATCGAACCGCCCTGGGACGTCCCTGTTGGGGACCGACCCTGTGCCCCCCCTGTGCCCCCCCTGTGACCCCCCTGGGACGTCCCTGTTGGGGACCGACCCTGTGCCCCCCCTGTGCCCCCCCTGGGACGTCCCTGTCGGGGACCGACCCTGTGCCCCCCCTGTGACCCCCCTGGGACGTCCCTGTTGGGGACCGACCCTGTGCCCCCCCTGTGCCCCCCCAGACTCACCCTTGCCCATGACCCGGGTGAACTGCCCCGGGATGTCCCCGTCAGGGACGGGGGCCGCGGGGGCCTCGGCGTCGGGGGCCGGGGGGGGGGCGAAGGCGTCGGGGGGGGGGCCCGGAGGGGCCCCGTCGGGGGTCCCGGGAGGGGGAGGCGCGGCCGGGGGGGGCCGGAAGGCCTTGATGGGGGTCACCAGGATCTGCTGCAGCTCCTGCAGCGCCGTCCACAGGTTGCCCCCCTCGAGGATGTCCTGGGGGGACACAGCGAGGGGGGAGGGAGCGTCAGAGACCCCCCCAGGGACACTGGGGGACATCGGGAACCCTCAAAAACAGCCCCTGGGGACAGTGGGGGTGACCAGGAACGTGGGAGAGACCCCCCAGGGACACCAGGGACAGCCCCCCCCCCCGCAACCCCTGGGGACGTGGCAGGGGGGAGCTTAAGGGTCCCCCGGTGTCACCACTGTCACCCCTGGGCAACCAGAGGGCCACCCCAGTGTCCCCCCGTGGGGACCCCAAGCCCCCCCAGTGTCACCCTGGGAGCCCTGATGGCCCCCCCGGCCCCCCCCGTGCTCCCAGTGCCCCCAGTGACCTTCTCCAGCGCCCTGAGGACGCTCTGCCGCTCCCGCAGCTTCTGGATGCTCAGGGCGATCTTGTGCCGGGCGCCCTTGGTGACGTTCTGGGGGGGACAGCGGGGGGGTCACGGCCCTGCCGGGGGGCCCGGGGACACGGGGGGGTCCCGGGGACGCCCCCAGCCCACCTGTGACTCCAGGTGATGCTCCGTCAGCGTCATCATCTCCTCGTAGCTCATCTGGGCGAACAGCGCCGCGTACTTGTGCAGCCGCAGGCTCTTGAGCCACGAGGGGACGTCTGGGGGGCCGAGGGGGGCTGTGAGGTGGCAGCCCCCCCCGAAGAACCCCTAAACCCCCCCCGGAGCCCTCCCCCAGCCCACCCTTCATGCCGCTGCCGTCCTCCTGGAAGGAGTTGCGCCCGCCGGGCTCCTCGGTGTGTTCGCTGCCCGACGAGGCCACGCTGCTCTGGGGGGACAGGGGGGCGTGTTCCCCGAACGGGGGGGGGGCCCTGGGGGCCGCGGGGGGGTCCTCGGGGCCCCCGCCCCCCGCCCACTCGCCCCCCTGGCCGGGCTGGGGGCTGCCGGGCACCAGCGACAGCGAGCGCTTCAGGGGGCTGGGGTGCAGCTGGCAGGGCAGGGCTGGGGGGCACAGGGGGGGTCAGGGGGGCTGGGACCCTCCCCAGACCCCCAAAGCCTTGCTGGACACGCGGGGCCCCTCCCCATTCCAAACTCGAACCCCCAGACCCCCCTGCACACACCGAGGGTCGGTGCCCCCCAACCCCTCCCCGTGTCTCCCAGGTGCCCCCCAGCCCCTTTTCCCACCCCTCCCCTTCGACCCCCAAGGTGCCCCCCAGCCCTACCTCCAACCCCCTTCCTGTCCCCACGTCCCTCCAGCTTCCTCTCTGTCCCCCAGCCCCTTTGCCCACCCCGCACTCGGGCCCTTCTCCTCCCCCCCCAGCCCCCTCCCCATCACCCCCTGGCCGCTCGACCCCTCCCCATGCCCCCCTCAGCCCCTTTCCCCCCCAGTTCGTGCCCGCCCGTGCCCCCGGCCCCCGTCTCCCCCCCATTACCTCCCCCTGCCCCGTGGTACACGGGGTGCCCGTTCTCGCGGGGCGGGGCCGCCCCGCCCCCGGGGGGCTCCGCCCAGGCCCCGCCCGGCTCGGGGGGGTGCTCGGGGGGCCACTCGTGGGCGGGGGGGCGGCGCGGGGGGGCGGCGCCGGGGGCCAGGCGCTCCTCCAGGTGGCCGAGCCACAGGGCCAGCGCGCTGCGGTCGTCGGCCGTGGTGGCGGGGTGGATGAGCGCGTAGGACAGCAGCTGCCGGCTCTCCTCCACGCAGCGGTTGCTCTCGATGGCCTCCGCCAGCACCTTCTGCAGCCGCTTCATGTACTCGGCCTTGGCCGCCGCGTTGCCGGGCTGCAGCAGCGGCAGGTGGGACAGCAGCAGGGACACGGCGGCCTCGGCCGGCTCCTGGGGCCACTGCGAGATGGCAGCTGGGGACACACAGAGGGACAGGGTCACCGTGGGCTCCTGGGGCCACCACGGGCTCCTGGGGCCACTGCGAGATGGCAGCTGGGGACACACAGAGGGACAGGGTCACCGTGGGCTCCTGGGGTCACCACGGGCTCCTGGGGCCACTGCGAGATGGCAGCTGGGGACACACAGAGGGACAGGGTCACCACGGGCTCCTGGGGCCACCAAGGGCTCCTGGGGCCACTGCGAGATGGCAGCTGGGGACACACAGAGGGACAGGGTCACCACGGGCTCCTGGGGCCACCACGGGCTCCTGGGGCCACTGCGAGATGGCAGCTGGGGACACACAGAGGGACAGGGTCACCGTGGGCTCCTGGGGCCACCACGGGCTCCTGGGGCCACCAAGGGCTCCTGGGGCCACTGCGAGATGGCAGCTGGGGACACACAGAGGGACAGGGTCAGGGGGCTCAGGGACACGCGGGGACTGAGAACAGGGACATGCAGGGACAGAAAACAGGGAAATGCAGGTTCTGCCTGTGCCTTTCCAGCCCCTCTCCAGCCAGCGAGTGCTCGAGGCAGAGCAGGACACCCCATATCGCCCTCAATGACCCCATAACCCCCGTGCAACCCCCTCAGTGACCCCCCCCGGGCCCCCCCAGCCCCTCACCGGCACTGTTGGCCTCGGCCTCGCGCCGGTGGATGTCGGGGCAGTCCTGCAGGGAGTGCTCGAGGCAGAGCTGCAGGAACCGGGCCTGTGTCCTCGTGACCCGTTTGAGCAGCGCCAGCAGAGCCACCGTCTGCTCGCACTCGCTCCAGCCCCGGAACCACCCGGCCACGATCCCCACCTGGTCCCGGAACATCATGGCTGGGGGGGCGCTGGGGGGGCCCTGCCCCCCCTCAGGTGCCGGGGGGGCCCCCCCGGGCCGGGCAGCGCATGGGGGGCTGTGCGGGGGGGTCCCGAGGGCCCCCCGGCTGCGATGGTGCCGCGGGACCACCCCGGAGGAGCCTGCGGGGAGAGGGCACACGGGGGGTTAGGGATGGGGGTGTGGGGTCTGGGACCCCCCCCCACGGGGAAGAGAGACCCCCCGACAGGACCGGGGACCCCCAAAAGGTTCCTCCCCCGAGGGGGACAAGGACACCCCACCAAGGACAGGGACCACCCCCCCTCCAAACCAGGGACCCCCCAAAGGGGACAGAGATCCCCCCACTGGAAACAGAGACCCCCACGAGGGACCAGGGACTCCCCCCGGTGGGGACAGATACGCCCGAATGGGGACAGGGACCCTCCCCACGACCCCCTCCCGGGGCACAGGGACCCCCCAGGGTGGGCACGGGAACCCCCCAACAGGGACCAGAGATTCCCCCCCCAGGGACCGGGGAACCCCGTGAGGAACCAGGGACGCCGCAGGACCCGCCCCGTGCACCGGGACCCCCCACACCCCCTCAGCACGCCCGTACTCCCTCTCCCCCTCCGTCCCCACACCGTTTTCCCCCGGGACCCCCAAACCCCCGGCCGCGGATGGGGGGGGGAAGGCGGGGGGCGCAGGCCCGGCGGGGCCGGGGCCGGCCTGGGGCGCTGTAGCGGTGTCGAGGGTGTCCCGGGAATGCCCCGGGGGTGTCCCAGGGTGTCCCGGGGGGGTTTGGGGGTTCCCGGGGGGTTCCGGGGGGTCCCGGGGGTCGCGGCCACCCCTCACTCACCGCCCGCCGCCGCCGCGCAACGTCAGCGCGCACGGCACGCACGGCACGCACGGCGCGGCGTGGCTGCGTCACCTCCCGCGCGGCCAATGGGGGAGCGCGGAGCGGGCGCGGGGACAGCGCGAGCGCGGCCACGCCCCCGCCGTAGTTCGACCAATGGGAGCCTCAAGACGCGACGCTGACCACGCCCCCTCTCTGTCGATCAGGAGGCCGCGCTCACAGCTGCATTAGGCCACGCCCTCCCGCTGGCCACGCCTCCACGTTCGCGCGGGGCTTGGAGGGGTGGGGCCTGGCGGGGGCGTGGCTCGAGGGGGCGTGGTCAGGGCCCGGGGACCTCCCCAGTGTGTCCCAGTGTCCTCCCAGTTTGTCCCAGTGACCCCCATTGTCCCCCAGTGTCCCTCCAGTGTGTCCCGAGTGTGTCCCAGTGCCCCTCAGGTGTGTTCCATGTCCCCCCAGTGTCCCCCATTATGTCCCAGTGCCCCTCCAGTGTCCCCCCAGTTTCCCCAGTGTCCCTCTGGAGATGGAGGGACAGACAGAGCACGGAGGGCAGGTCCTGGCCCACTCGTGTGTCCATGTGTCTGTCCGCGTGTTCGCGTCTGTGCATCTGTGTCTGTGTGTCCGTCCGTGTGTCTGTGTCCGTGTGGCCGTGGGTCTGTGTGTCCATGTCTATGTGTCCACCCCTGTGTCTGTCTGTGTGTTCGTGTCTGTGTCCATCCGTGTGTCTGTGTGTCCATCTGTCTGTCCATCCATGTGTCTGCATCTGTGTGTCCATGTCTGTGTGTCCATCCGTGTGTCTGTCCATATGTCTGTGTCTGTGTGTCCATCCATGTGTCCGTGTCTGTGTGTCCGTGTGTCAGCCCACGAGTCGGTACACAGGTCGGTCCCTGTGTCCGTGTGTCCGTGTGTCCGTGTGTCCACACGTGAGTCCATGTGTCGGTACTCGGATCAGTCCATGTGTCCACGTGCCTGTGTGTCTGTCCGTGTGTCCATCCGTGTGTCCATCCATGTGTCCATGTGCCTGTGTGTCTGTCCGTGTGTCCATCCGTGTGTCCATCCATGTGTCCACGTGCCTGTGTGTCTGTCCGTGTGTCCATCCATGTGTCCACATGCCTGTGTGTCTGTCCGTGTGTCCATCCATGTGTCCACGTGCCTGTGTGTCTGTCCATGTACTGGTACACAAGTCAGTCCGTGTGTCCGTGTGTCTGTCTCTGCGCCTGTCTGTGTGTCCGTGTGTCTGTCCGTGGGTCTGTGTGTCGCTCCATGGGTTGGTCCACGGGTCTGTTTATGTGTCCGTGTGTCCGTGGGTCCATGCTCGTGTCTGTCCGTGGATCCGTCCCCGGTCCGTGTGTCCGTGGGTCTGTCCGTGTGTCTGTCCGTGGATCCGTCCCCGTGTCCGTGTGTCTGTCCGTGGATCCGTCCCCGGTCCGTGTGTCTGTCCCCGTGTCCGTGTGTCTGTCCGTGGGTCCGTCCCCGGTCCGTGTGTCTGTCCGTGGGTCCGTCCCCGGTCCGTGTGTCTGTCCGTGGGTCCGTCCCCGTGTCCGTCCCTCCCCTCCCCTCCCTCCCCGCCCCTCCCGGCCCCGCCCCGGCGCTTCTGCGGCTCCAGCGGCGGCCGCGGCCTTTGGGGCGGCGGGTCCGGGGCTGCTCCGGGGCCCCCCCGGCCTGGGGACCCCCCTCCCGGGACCCCCCTCCCGGCACCGCCACCGCGGCCCCCCCCGCAAATCCCGGGATCGATTCCCGAATCCATCCCGGATCCACCCCGGATCCACCCCGGATCCATCCCCGGATCCATCCCGGTCCCTCCCGCCCTTCCCGGGATCCATCCCCGCATCCCGATCCCTCCATCCCGGTCCCCCCCCCAGCCCCCCCATCGCGGTCCCCCCCTTCCCGTATCCCGGTGCTTCCCCCCCCCTCCGGTAGCGACAGCCCCCCCTCGCCCCTCCCCACCCCCGTTACCGCCAGGCCCGGGGGCCCCCCGGAGCCCCCCCGGAGCCCCCCCGGGCCCCCCCCGGTGCTCCCCCCGTGCCCCCCCATGGCCCCCCGGTAGGGCGAGGCCCGACCCCCCCCCGGAGCAGTGATGGGAACGTCCGTGGGCTGAGCCCCCCCAGGTACCGCCGGGAGTCGCACGGGGGGGGGGGATGAGGGATTGGGAGGCACAGGAGGGGGGGCTCTGGGTGATGCTGGGCTGGACTGGGCCATACTGGGCTGTGCTGGGCCAAACAGGGCTGGACTGGGCGGTGCTGGGGCTATATTGGCTTGTACTGGGCCTTACTGGGCTGTGTTGTCCTGTACTGGGATGTACTGGGCCATACTGGTCTGTACTGGGCTATATTGGGATGTACTGGGTCATACTGGGCTGTGCTGTCATGCAGTGGCCTGTACTGGGCCATACTGGGCTGTACTGGGCCGTACTGGGCCAGGCTGCCCTGTAGTGGCCTGGACTGAGCCGTGCTGGAATGTACTGGGCCATACTGGGCTGGGCTGTCCTGGGTCTGTATTTGGTCTGTATTGGTACATACTGGTCTGTACTGGGTTGTGACATGTCTGTGGTAGTGGGTACTGGGCCACACTGGGCCATGCTGGGCTGTACTGGGCCACACTGGGCCACACTGGGCCACACTGGGCTGTTGGGCTGTACTGGGATGTAGTGGACTATACTGGGATGTACTGGGCCTGTACTGGGATATGCTGAGTCTTACTGGGTCGTGCTGGACCATACTGGTCTGGACTGGGTCTGGACTGGGCTGTGCTGCCCCATACTGGTCTGTACTGGTCCATACTTGGCCATGAACTCCTCTGCTCGTCCATACTGGGCCATGCCGGGTTCTACAGGGCCACACTGGGACATGCTGAGTGTTACTGGGTTGTGCTGGATCATACTGGGCCGTACTGGGTCATACTGGGCCGTACTGGGTCATACTGGGCCATCCTTGGCCCTACTGGGCTGTGATGGCCTGTACTGGCTTTTACTGGGCTGTACTGGTTTGTACTGGTCCATGCTGGGCTGTGCAGTCTGTACAGGCTCCCATTGGGCTATACTGGGTTGTACTGGGCCATACTGGGCTGTGCTGGAAGGTACTGGGCCGTACTGGGTCATACTGGGCCGTGCTGGGCCTCATTAAACCATAGATGGGTAATGGATGCTCCAGAGTATGAGCAGCAGATACCGGTCTGGACTGGGCCATACTGGGGTGTGTGGAGCCGTACTGGGCTGTTCTGGGCTGTACTGGGCCATGCTGGGCTGTGTGCTGCTGTACTGGTCTGTACTGGTGGATAGATATGGGTCTGTACTGGTCTGTACTGGTCTGTATTGGTCCGTACTGGCCCCTCCCCTGTCCCCACAGCCCCGCGGCGACGCCCAGACGGGACCAACATGGAGCCCTGAGACGAGGTAACGGGATCCCTGGGATCACTGGGATCACTGGGATCTCCCTGGAGCTCATGGGAACCCGTGGGATCACTGGGATCTCCCTGGAGCTCATGGGAACACGTGGGATCACTGGGATCACTGGGATCACTGGGATCTCCCTGGAGCTCATGGGATCACTGGGATCACTGGGATGACTGGGATCTCCCTGGAGCTCATGGGAACACGTGGGATCACTGGGATCACTGGGATGACTGGGATCTCCCTGGAGCTCATGGGAACACGTGGGATCACTGGGATCACTGGGATCACTGGGATGACTGGGATCTCCCTGGAGCTCATGGGAACACGTGGGATCACTGGGATCCCATGGAAACACATAGGGCACATGGGATCTCATGGGATCTCATAGGACAAATGGGATCTCGTGGGGTCTTTTGGATCTCGTGGGATCCCCCGGGTCAGGTGGCGCCCCACGGGAACGCACAGGGCGTGTGGGGTGCCACAGGATTCCGAGAGCTCTCGGGGGGATCCCTGGTGATCTGAGGGGATCTGGTGGGATACGACAGGTCCTGGCGGGATCTGACACATCCTGGGAGGCCGGGCAGGGTCCCCCGACCCCCCCGGCGCCCCCTGACCCCCTCTGCCCCCCGCAGGCGCCGCCGTGGGATGGCGAAGCTGCTGGTGCCGCTGGTGGTGCTGGGGGCGGTGGCGGGCGGGGCCCCCCCGGCCGCCCCCCGGTGCCCCCCGCGCTGCCTGTGCCCGGCGGCGGCGCCGAGCCCGACGCTGCTCTGCGCCCGCACGGGGCTGCTGGCGGTGCCGCCCAGCCTGGACCGCGGGGCCGTGGAGCTGCGCTTGGCCGACAACTTCATCGGCGCCGTGGGCCGCGCCGACTTCGCCAACATGAGCTCGCTGGTGCACCTGACGCTGTCGCGGAACGGGCTGCGCCGCCTGGCCCCCGGCGCCTTCGCCGACCTGCGCGCCCTGCGCGCGCTGCACCTCGACGGCAACCGGCTGCCGGCGCTCAGCGGGCCCCAGCTCCGCGGGCTGGCCAGCCTGCGCCACCTCATCCTGGCCAACAACCAGCTGGCCGCCATCGACGCCGCCGCCTTCGCCGCCTTTGCCGCCACCGTGGAGGACCTGGACCTGTCGCACAACAACCTGCCGGCGCTGCCCTGGGACGCCGTGGCCGCCATGGCCAGCCTGGCCACGCTCACGCTGGACCACAACCTGCTGGAGCGGGTGCCGGCGGGCGCCGTGGCGCGGCTGCCGCGGCTGGCGCGGCTCGACCTCACGGCCAACCGGCTGCGGGCGCTGCCGCCCGTGCCGGGCCCGCCGGGGCCGGCGCTGGCGGCCGGGGGGAACCCCTTGCACTGCAACTGCGAGCTGCTGTGGCTGCGGCGCGTGGCGCAGCCGGGGCGCCTGGAGACCTGCGCCACGCCGGCGCCGCTGGCCGGGCGGCTGCTGGGCGCCGTGCCCGAGGAGGAGCTCACGTGCCGGGCCCCCGCCGTCACCGCCGCGGCCGCCCACCCGCCCGCCGTCACCGAGGGGCAGCCGCTGCGCCTGGGCTGCGCCGCCGTCGGGGACCCCCCGCCCGCGCTGCACTGGCTGGGCCCCGACGGGCGCGTGGTGCACAACGGCTCCCGGCGCTCCGTGGGCGCCGACGGCTCCCTGGAGCTGCGCGTGGCCACCCTGCGCGACCACGGCGGCTTCACCTGCGTGGCCGCCAACGCCGCGGGAGAGGCGGCCGCGCGCGTCGACGTCGTGGTGGTGCCGCTGCCGGTGCCGCGCAGGGACCGGGACGGAGACGACCCCGAGCCCGGGCCCGGCCCCTCTGACATGGCCAGGGCGGGGGGCAACGAGACCTTTGGGGGGGCGGGGCCCGGGGAGCGGCGGGTGGTGGCGGCCGAGGTGACCGGGTCCTCGGCGCGCATCCGGTGGCTCCCCCAGCGCCACGTGCCCGGAGTCCGGATGGTGCAGATCCAGTACAACAGCTCCGCCGACGACGCCCTCGTCTACAGGTGGGGACTCCCGGGGAGGGTCCTGGGGGGCTTGAAGGGGTCATGGGATGGCCTGGGGGGCTCTGTGGACAGGGTGCAAGGGGGTCTTGGGGTGTCCTGGGGGGCTTTGGGGGGGTCCCAGAGGCAAACAGGGAGGTCGTGGGAGGGCTCGGGGGTCTCACGGAGGGGCTCTGGGAGGTCCTTGGAGGGCTGTGGGAGGGGGCACATGAAGGAGGTCTTGGAGTGTCCTGGGGGCTCTGGACAGTCTTTGGGGGGTCCTGGGGAGCACTGGGAGGCTTCTAAGGGCGGGTTAGGGGCCACTGCAGGGGTCCTGGGTGCTCTGGAGAATCTTTGGGGGGTCTTGGGGGGCTTCTGGGGGGGTCTTTGAAAGGTCCTAAGGAGGATCGGGGGGTCACAGGGGAGTCTTTGAGGGGTTCGGGGGAGGTTCGAAGAGGTCTCTCTGGCTCTTCGAGGGGGTTCGGAGCTGTCTCTGTGGAGTCCTGCAGGTCTCTGGGGGGGCTCAGGGGGGTCTTGGGGAGAGGGGGTCACACCCTCCCGACCCCCCCCAGGCTGCTGCCCCCCTCCACCCGCACCTTCGTGCTGCGGGACTTGGCCCCGGGGCGCCTCTACGAGCTCTGCGTGTCCGCGCTGCACGTGGCCGGGGACCCCCCCGCCGCCCCCCGCCCCCTCGGCTGCGTCTCCTTCGCCACTGCCGCCGCCCCCCCGGGCTGCGCCGCCCCCCCCCGGCCCCACTTCTTGGGGGGCACCGTCATCATCGTCATCGGCGCCGCCATCGCCGCCTCCGTGCTCGTCTTCATCCTCATCCTCACGGCGCGCTGGAAGGCGGCGGGGGCGCGGCGACCCCCGCCCGCGCTCACCAGCGTCTGCTCCCAGACCAACGGCGGCCCCCGGCCCGCGGAGCCCCTCGAGCTGCCCCCGCTGCCCCCCCTGCCGCCCGGGCCCGGGGGGGCGCTCGGGGAGGGCCCCGGAGGGGGTCCCGGGCTGGGAGGGTCCCGGGGGCTGTTCCCCAGCCACAGTTACCCCCGGCGGGCGCGCCCCCGACGCCACGGATCCCTCCCGCGGCTGGACGCGCCCGAGGGGACCCCCCTGGGACCCCTGCGCCCCTCCTTCGGCAGCACCCACTGGATGCTGGAGAGCACCGTGTGACCGGGGGGGGGCGGTGGGACCTCCGCCCCCCGCCGGGACCCCCCCGCCCCTCCTTCGGCAGCGCCCACCGGCTGGGGGGGGCGGGGGGAAAAGGGGGCTCTGGGGGTGCTGCGGGGGGAACCCGGGGTGTCCCGGTGCAGCTCTGGGTGCTCCTGGGGACCCCCGGGTGGTCCCGGGTGACCAAGTGCGCCCCTGGGTGCTCGTAGGGACCCTGGGGGCGGTCCTGGGGACCCCTCAGGTGCTCCTGGGAGCCCCAACGGCCCCCCCCCCCCGGTGCCCGGAGCACCCCTGGGCGCACGAACGCAGCCCCGCCCCCCCCGGGGACCCCGTGTGCCATCGGGCCCCCCCAGGTGTCCCCTGGACCCCCCCCGCCCTGGGGGCACCTGTATGCAACCCTGACCCCCCCGTGGGCACCCGGGGGCGGGGACCCACACCTGGGGCTTGTGTTCGCCCTGACACGCAAGGGGGGGTGTCCGGAAACGTACCCCCCCCCCAAGCCCGGGGCAGGACACCCCCCCGGAGAGTCTGTGACACGCGTGTGCCCCCCCGCCCCACGCAGGACACGCACCTGGGACTTGTGTGTGCGCCCCAAAATGTGTGTGCCCCCTCAAGACACGCGTGGGGGGGTCTCCCCCCGGAACTCGCGTGTGCCCCCCCCTCCCCGCCACGCCTTGCCCGGCGCGCCCCCCCCGCGGTGCCTTCGGCCGGGCCGGCGGGGCCGGGGGGGCCCCGCGCACGCCACTGACATGTCTGCACAGATGACACGAGACCTGCAGCCCCCCAAACCCCCCGGGGAGGGGGCCAAAGGCGGGGGGGCTCCCAGGAGGCCTGGGCCCCCTCCCCCGTGTGTCCCTTTCCCCCCCCCGTGGCCTCCGAATCCCCCAACTCGGCCCGGGGGCTCCTATCTGGCTGGTCTGGATAACCCGGGGGGGCTCCCCCAGCCCCCCCATGCCCATTTCTCCCCCTCCCCGCCGCCTCAACCCTCCCCCCCGTTTGCCCCTCCCTCCCCAAACCACCACCCCCAGTCCCCCCCCCGCCAGCCGCCCCCCCGGGCCCCCCCGCAGTGTTTAACACGAGTTTTTACATTAAAAACCTGTGGCCCCCCCGGGGCAGAAACACGCGTGTGAATGGGGGGCGGCGTCTCGGGCGGGGGGGGCAGCTCTGTCTGGGGGGGTCCCCCTCTGTCGGGGGGTCCCCTGTGTCCTGGGTGGGGTTTCTTATCTGTTCTTGGGGGTCTCTGCCTGGGGGGGTCCCCTCTGACCGCACAGGGGGGTTTCGAGCACCCTCCCCGAGACTCCCCCACCCCGCCTGCCCCTCTCGCGATGTGGGTGGGACCGGGCTATGCTAATGAGAGGGCAGCCCCCACCCCCCGCGGTTGCCATGGAGACCGCCGAGGGGAGATCGGCGGCGCCGTGCGGGGCGTGGCGTCGGCTCATGAATATGCAAACAAGGGCGGGGCCACCGCACTCGGGGCACAGGGGCCCCATCCCGGCCTTGGGCGGGGTGGACACGACAAGGGCGTCACCTGGGTCCCTTCCCGGGGGTGGGGGGAGGTCCCCATGGAGACAGAACACCTGAGGCCCTCTCCGGGGTCGTGGAGGGCGTCCCAGACACTTGGGTCCCTTCTCGGGGGGCGGAGCTGCACACTTTGGGGGGGCTGCAAACTTTGGGGGGTCCCAGGGGGTGGAGGGAAGGCACAGGACACCTGTGTCCCTTCCCACGGTGGGTGTGCCATGGCCTTGGGGACACCCACACACCTGTGTCCCTTCCCACGGTGGGTGTGCCATGGCCTTGGGGACACCCACACACCTGTGTCCCTTCCCGGGGTGACAGGTGAACCCGCACACCTGTGTGCCCTCCCAGGCGTGTCCCCGCCCACCCCCGTGGCCTTGGGGGCTCAGGTATATCCAGGGGGCCCTCGGGGCTCGGGAGGCCTCGGCGATGGCGTCGGCACTGCTGGTGACACTGGTGGCCTCGGTGGCCGTGCTGGGTGGGGGGGTGGAGGCCCAGTGCCCCGGCCCCTCCGAGGTGCACACTGCCAACGGCACCCGCCTGTGCGCCCTGCTCTACACCGACGACAGCCCCTACTACGACCAGTGCTGCGCCGGCGCCGTGCTGGAGGTGGAGCCGGGCAGCGACGTGCCCTACATGCCCTACAAGTGGTCCGGCCGCACCTCCTCGCTCGTGGTGGGCACCCGCTGCGAGCTCAACGTGTGGTCGCGCAGGGGCAAGGAGGGCGACACGCGGCGCTTCAGCGCCGGCGCGGTGCCGCGGCTGCAGGAGGTGCACCGGGGGCTCTTCGGAGACTGGGACGACGCCATCCGCGGGTACTACTGCACCTGCAAGTGACGGCACGGCCGCGCGGGCAGGGGGCAGAGCCGGGGGGACAGCGAGTCAACGTGGGCCAACGCAAGTCAATGTGGGCCAACGCAAGTCAACGTGAGTCAACGTGGGCCAATGAGAGTCAACGTGAGTCAACGCGGGCCAAGTCACACCAACGTGGGCCGACACACGACAACGCAGGCCAAGACGAGTCAACCTCGGCCAACGTGAGTCAACACAAGTCAACGTGGGCCGCTTCACGCTCCTCGTGAGCCCACACGTGTCCCATGGGCCGACACGCGTCAACACGGCCGTGACCTGTCCCTGCCCCCCCTCCTGTAGGAAATAAAGCCCTGAGGCAGCAGCAGCTCCTGCCGGGGGGTTTTATGGGGGGGGTCACCAGCCACCCCCAGGGGTCTTTCAGTGGGGAGAAAGGGGGTCCCCACACCCCACGACTCCCCATTTCCCCCAGAGGGGATGCAGGTAGTGCCCACAGGTGTGTCCCCCCCAAAGAACCACACGGCACACGGGGGGCTCCAAAAGGACACGTGTAATTTGGGGGGGCCCCGTGTCCCCCCCGGGGCCCCCCCATCCCGCACGGTACAAAACCCAACAATATAAATATCACTTTGTTAAAAAACAATATGGGGGGAAAAAACCAACAAAAAAACCCAAAATCAACAAAAACGGGGAGCGGGGAGGGCTGGAGGGGACCCCAAATCAGTAGTGTGGTGGAGGGGCTGTAGTTTTGGGGACCCCCCCATGGAGATGTGGGGGGGCCACACCCCAGTGCCCAATGGGAGTAGAAAAAGGAGGTTAAAAGAAACAAAAAAGGAGGGAAATGCCCAACAAAAAAGGAGGGAAATGCCCCAAAATGGGTCCGAAAAGGGGGGGGGTAGTGGGGTGAGCCCCTCACTCCCCAAATCTCTGACAGGAAGGAGGAAGAAAGGGAGCACCAGGATAAGCCCCGCACTCCCCAAAATCTCTGCCTGGGGGAGGGTACCGGGATTAGCCCCTGCACCCCCAAATCTCCAGGATGATGCCGTCCCCCACGCCCCAGATCTCTGCTGGGGGGGCCCGTGGCACTGAGTGCCCCCCCCAAGCTCAGTAGTACAATTTGGGGGGCCGGCGCCCCTCGCCAGCGCCCCACCAGTAACGTCCCAGTGCCGCTCCAGTTTGGGGGTGCCAGTGAGAAGGAGGAGGAGGCCGGGGGGGGTCTCCCCCCTCCGCGGGGGGGTCTCACCGGAGCCGGTGCTGCCGCATGAGGGGGACGATGCAGGCGGGGGGGCCCGCGACCCCCAGGAAGGGGTGTCGGAGCAGCTCCGGGGCGCTCGCCCGCTGCGCCGGGTCCCGCACCAGCATCCGCTCCAGGAACCCCTTGAGGGAGGGTGACACCTGGGGGGGGCAGAGGTGGGGTCAGACACCCCCAGGGCCCCCCTGGGAGTGGGGACCCCCCCTCTCCGAGTTACCTTGTGGCCGTTCTTGAGCCGGGGGGGGAGGTTGTCGCGGATCAGCTTCATGGCCTTGAGGGGGGGCTCGTTGAAATAGGGGGGCTCCCCGTCCACCATCTCGATCACCATCACCCCCAGAGACCAGATGTCCACCTGGGTGGGGGCCGCCAAAAAGAAAAGGGGGGGGCTTGAGGGGGAGGCCGCCTGGAGCTCCTCAAACCCACCCTGTGCACCCCTAAACCCACTCCAAACCCTGGGCCCACTCCCCCACAAGACCCACCTCGTGGCCGTAGGGCAGGTGGGAAACGGGCTCAGGCTTCCACGCAGACATCCCAAAGACCCCTAAACCCACCCTGTGTCCCCCAAATCCACCCCACAACCCCCCAGCCCCACCTCTGGGCCGTAGGGCAGGCGGGAGATGAGCTCGGGGGCCATCCAGTACGGGGTCCCCACCAGCGACTTGCGCCGCGGCACCTCCTTGTTCACTTGGGCGCAGAACCCAAAATCCGAGAGTTTCACCTGCGAACGGAGCCGGGGGTGGTCAGGGCTGGGGGCAGGGAGGGCCAGCGAGGCCCGGGGGGGGGGTTGTTGGGGGCAGGGGGGCCGTACCCGCCCGTCATGCGTGAGGAGGATGGAGTCGCTCTTGATGTCGCGGTGGATGACGCCCTGGGCGTGGAGCACGGCGAGCGCCCGCAGCACCGACAGGCACACGGCCGCAATCTGCTCCTCCGTCATCCTGCACACGGCGGGGGGGTCAGGGGGGGGTGGGGTGGCACAGGAAGCACCCGGGGAGAGGGAACCGGGGGTACCTGGTGTGGGTGACGATGTCGGTCAAGGCGCCGCCCTCCAGGAACTCCATGACCACCCAGAGCTCGTCGCCCACCAGGTAACTGTTGTACATCTCCACCACGTTCTCGTGCTGGTAGTCCCGCATGATCACCACCTGCGGGGGGGGCGTGTGGCGCTGGGACCCCCGAGATCCACCCAGCCCTGTCAGGGGGAGCCCTGGGGGGTCCCCTCTGCCCCCACCTCATTGAAGAGCAGCTCTCGCCGCTGCTGCTTGCGCAGATCCATCTTCTTGACGGCCACGAGCTTGCCGGAGCCGCGCACGGTGGCGATGCACACGATGCCCGTGGAGCCCTCCCCGATCTTGATGAAGTTGTCCAGGTACGTGCGGGGGTCCCCGGGGTCCACCACCATCTGCAGCGCCGCCCGGAACTGCTCGTGGGACACGCGCTGGGGCCCCCCCGGGGCGGGCGGGGGGCCGGGGGGCCGCGAGGCCGGAGGGTCCGGCCCGGGGGGCGGCGGCGGCTCCGGGGCTTTGGGGCGCGGGGGGCCGGGGGCGTGGGAGGAGGAGCCGGGACCGCCGGGGACCGGCCCGTTGGGCGTCACCTCCTGCGGGCGTCCCGGCCGGTGCTCTGCCTGCGGGGAGAGGGGGACGGGGGGGTCAGACCCCTGAGATCCCACAGGATCTGTGCCCCGCAGGGTTGGGAGCCAACGCCGGGGCCTCCAGCCAGAGGCCAAAGGAAAGGTTTGAGTGGGGAAGAGGAAGAGGAAGGCGCTCGGGGGCAGAGGATGCAGCACCGGGAAGGACAGGGCAGCTGGGGAAGCCTTCAGCACGGCCTGATCCCCACCACAGCGTGGGAGCTGCAAGGAAGAGGAGCAGAGAAGCCGCTTCCAAGGAGGAAGAGAAAGAAGCAGAGCGAGGAAGGGGACGAGGAAGAAGAGAAAGCTGCTCTGATGCCAAGGACACGGCACCAGGAAGGTGGTGGATTCCACTGCAGTCATGAGAAAGGGCAGCAGAGAAACCACTTCCAAGGAAGAAGAGGAAACGCAGAGTGAGGAAAAAGAGAAAGAGAAAGCAAACAAAACTGCTCTGATGCCAAGGACACAGCACCAGGAAGGGAAGCAGGTGGATCCCACTGGAGCCATGAGGAAGAGGAGCAGAGAAGCCACTTCCGAGGAGGAAGAGCGGAAGCAAAGTAAGGAAGAGGAAGAGAAAAAAGAGGAAGCTGCTCCGGTGCCGAGGACACGGCACTGGGAAGGGAAGCAGGTGGCCTTTGGCACAGCTGATCCCGCTGGAGCCGCGAGGAAGAGGAGCAGAGACGCCGTTCCCGAAGAGCGAGAGGAGGACGAGGAGGAGGAGGAAGAGCCCGGGGTGGGACCCCCATTTACCTGGGCGGGGGGGCCCCGGGAGGGGTCGGTGTCGGCGCGGGGGTAGGTGTGGAAAGGGCGTCCGGGCTGCGGCGCCGTCTTCGGCCCCGCTCCGGGAGCGCCGGGAACGCCGGGAATGTCGGGGGGCCGCAGGTCGGGCCCCGAGAGCGGGCGCTGCTCGCGGGGGGGGGGCCGGGGGGCCCCCTCACCAGCCGAGCTGGACTTGGGGCGCTTCTCCTCCCGCCGCAGCCCCCCGGGGCCGGGCGCGGGCGGGGGGTCCCGCTCGGCAGCACCTTTGGGGGGTCTCGGCTCCGGCTCCCCCCGGCCCCCCCGGCGGCTCTTC